CTGCTGAAGTCCAAAGATAAGTACTCCATTGTCAATCAAACGTCTCAAAACAAATAATCCTAAAAATAGTGAGACGGACCCTCTTTTAATGACATTGGCTTATTTAGTACATATAGTGCACTGAATTGCTCTAGGAGTGGTTCTTCTTCGCAGCTACTATAACACTTAGATGCTCATTGGAGGTGGCAAAACTAATGTACAGGAAGCAGAAGTAGTAGGCGAGAACAAGGCATGGAAGATGGAACTGAGCAGGGACAGCCAGCATATGGCATCAAAATATGTAGACAGGACAGTCTCTTTAAAAAAATGAGACTTGGCACCTTATATTGTATATTATATTTATATCTAAATATTCCTCATTTTCAGCTTGCAGGATTTTGCCCATGGAGAAATTTGTAGAACAGGTGAGCTCTGTTGGCTGAGCTCAAAGCAAGGGAGTAACCAGATCTTAATTTCTGTTCTAGTCCTTTTTTAGCAAAATCAAAATGTGGTTGGTATGTAACCTATAAAGAATGTTGGGGGGGGGAGGGCTCCCATGCCTTCACACTTCTCTCCCATTAAAGTATTAGATTCTCACTGTATTCCAGAGACCCAGGAGACAACCGCAGACAGCTAATAAAATACTAATTTAAGTTTTGAGGCTGAATTAGAGGAATCCAATTAAGTTGTTTTAAACCCTAGTATGTGATTTGTTTCCTCCAGTATATGCAAGTGTTTGTCTTTCTTTGAAGCTTCCTAAATGATTGGAGAAAGTGTGGTGTTTAGGAGCTCATGTATATCTTTTCCACAGCCCCAGTTCAATTGAGAGTATCAACTTCCATTAGCAGAACAATTCACAGTGCTTTTCATTCCTTGCTACAACTAATCCTTTCTGACTTGCTTCAAAGATGTAATACTTTGTATGTCTGAAGATGTATGCTACTCTCAATTGCAATTTTTTTTCTTGTACTGAATGTTTTGGGCTTACGGAGGAAGAATATGGCCATATGGAAATATCTTCCCTATCAAAGTGAAACAGTTTTAGTGAGCCTTTAAGAAGGTTCCTCAAACATAATGCAGTAGATGAACTCTCACAGGCGTACTTTAAAGCCTGTTAAAAATTTCTCTGCAGATGATGCAAAGCGAATGCACAGTGAATAGTGTTGTTTGTGTTATGACTGGAAGAAGAATGACTTCTTAGTGAAAGAAAGTCTAACGTTAATTAAAACATTTTCAGGGTTTGGGTGCATAATACCCCTTTGGTGGTGTTCTATTGCCTGTCGTTTTAATTCCATGAAAAATAGGCTGTGTAATGTTAGCAAATGTTCATATTGATTACAAGCATCCTGGGTACGCTAAACCAAAGAATTAAGTCTTTTGATTGTTTCTTGCAAAACAGCTATATTGATAACAATGCTCGTAGTATGAATATGTTGCAGCCAGGTCATTGTTATAATCCTTTGCAGTGAAGGCTGTTCCATTAAATTAAAAAAAAAGTACCTGAAAGTGTCCAGCAAATCCTATTAGTTACTGGACTTCAGTTATATATTTCTGATTAATAGGGAGTTCAGTGAACCCCCTCCCCCCCCAGGTCAAATTTAAAAATATATATCAGATTTTCCATAAGAGATATGCATTCTCTCTTCTGCGAAATAAGGCAATTCTGTCAATAAAGCAAAGGGCAAGCAGAAATGGTTCAAACTAAAAAGTTACCTAAAACTGGAATAGGAAAGAATGGTAGGTCCTAGCTGATTCATCTGTCTTGAGTCCTTGCATGTCAGTCTATCTCTCTATGCCAAGTCAATAAAAATGATTAGAGCAGGCATCTCACAAATGTACACCCTTAAACCATGAAGCCGTAATACTGTGCACGATATTTTTTTCTGACCTTTTCAAATTACATCCAACTGTCTGGGGAATTTCTCAGTGACTAGAGGTAATAAGGTTCAATCCGTTTTGCTGGTTGGCTTCAAATTTAGCTCCTGAGAAGCCCTAACTTATCTATTCTTTTTATCTTTGCCTTGGCATCCATTCAGTACTGTAATCCATGCATCTAATCTTTTTTTCTCCCCTCTCAGGTTCTGCTGCAGGATCACATTGTGAAAACTACAACCATGAAAGGCCCTCCATTTATTGCACCCTTCAAAAACGAAATATTAGCATGGGAGGCTAAGCTGGTATGTTGCCTTTTGAGAGGCTCTTGTTGAATTTAATTAGCTTTTAGATTTCATTTCCATGCTACATCTCAGTTTTCACCACCCTATGTGATTTATGCTTCAGTAACTTTCATTATATAAAACTTTTAAAACTTTGCTGTGCTACTTGCACGGTGTAGAATATTAAAAAGGGGGGTGGGGAAGATAGCACAAAGTTCTTTGTGTTAAATTGATTTCACTTTAGTTTTTATTATGTGAGCCCAAATGCAATAGACACAGTCATCCGGCAAGTAAGCGAATCATCCAAGTGAGACTCACAAACAGGCAGCTGTGCTGGCCCGTTCTTCATTGTGCTTCCCAAAGCAGAGCAGATAACAGAAGTTGAGATCATTTTCTTTTGACTTTGTAAGAACATAGTGGCGTTGAGTGATTTTATATCTGATAACAGCTCACTTTATTTTTAATATGTGGTATACCTGGCATTTATTGGATGTAGTAAGGGAACACATGCATTGCTTACAATAAATGAAATGTCATGTTTATTGTCTCCAGTGTAACTACTGCAGGAGCTTATGGAATTCTGGCTGCAACTTCAAAAGACCCTGGTGATGCTGAGAACCCATTTTCTTGTTCATAAGACGCATGTTACCAAATATCAATAAAAGGAAAGCACTATGAAATTGTCAATAGGAACTGGTAAGTTTGTTGTTCTTATCTATTTAGGGTCTAATTCCCTTTCCACATTCTCTGTTTCCGGAGCTGCTTTTTACACAACTGGATATGAAGAATTGGGCTCAGTAGGTCTTAATTGGCTTGGCTTAATCATTAATTGATCAGTCTAAAACAATTACCTCTTTTCAGCCATGACTGAATTTCTCTTGAATATAAATATAGCTAGGAGTGGTTCTCAACTAGGAATAGTAAACCCCTAGAGGGAATACAGAAGTCTCACAGAGGAGTACATCACCTCATCTAGAGAGTTTCCTAATTTTACAACAGGCTACATAAAAAGCCCTACTGAAGTCAAGACAAACTAAATTTTCATAGAGTGACTTGTTTATATTACTCTAGATACTATGCACTGAAATGTAAGTATAATATTTATATTCTGTTTTTTTTAATTATATAATAAAAATGAGAAAATGTTTTCAGTAAGAGTGTGCTGTGACACTTTTGTATTTTACAGGCCTGCCAATCGGGAGGGAAGAAGGGAGGGGACCAAAGGGAGCCCAGGCCCAGGGGCGGACTGGCCCAGCGGGATACCGGGAATTTCCCGGTGGGCCGTTGTCTGGTGGGACATTGTGTCCGCACGCCGTGTGCCTCCGTGTCTGCGCTGTATGCGGCACGCAGAGTCTGACCCGCCGCCTGTGTCGCATGCCGGACATGATGCAGGGGGCTGGACTTGAGGGGCACGCAGGGGTGACATCATGGGGAGGGCCATGCTCAACCCATTTCCTGGGCCTATTTTGATTGCCAGTATGCTCCTGCCCAGGCCCGTTCATAATCACTGCCAGAATGCCAGGTGGTGTACACTAGAGTCCCGCGGTGCTCTATCTGGCCAGCTCTGAGGGCTGGTGGGGGGATGGGTGAACTGTGGAGGCATCGTTCGGGCCACTTCTATCTGATGCCCCACCCCTTTTGTGTATGTGGAGCTGAGCCCTCCCTTTCTCCACACTGCCAAGGGGCCTGAAGATCCTGTCAGCTCCCCTGGAATGTTATGTTTAATTTTGTAAGCGAGGTGAAATTGGGGGCACACAAGACAAATCAGACTCCTGAAAGGGGTACAATGGATTGAGAGCCTCTGCTTTAGAAGATCTTGATGATTTTTTTCTGAAGTGAAGGGAAACATGACCTACTAAATATAGTACAGGATAAGGAATTTGGAAATCTGTGTTTTGTATATAGGTCAAGCATGCTGTGGTTGTGTGATCTCCTTTAAAACATTTACTCTTTAGTATATTTACTCCTTTAATACATTACTCTTCCATAGTATCTCCATCAGTAAAAACAGGGATAATAATAATGCCTTTTGCTGATGTATATAGTTATTACCACCATCACCATTGCTATTACTATTACTATTTTTTTATTACTACAGTGCTCTCATGCCTCAAAGGGATGTAGAGAGGCTTACTACTTTAATATTTTTAAAGTGGTTTGAGAGCCTTTGTTGGAAGGCAATACAGAAGAGTAAAGTAGAGTTATAAAATCATTCTTTATTTGTAAGAAAATATTTTCTATGTTCAATTGTTTCATCTACTTCCCTATTTTGCAAACAAGACAACTTAGAAAAATAAGAATATTAAATCATATTTTTTCTTTAAACCTTTTAAGTCACTATAAGGAAAAGTTTTTCTTCAAGGTACATAATTTTTCTAAATCATTTCACATTACATTTGTTTTTAAATTAAACAACAAAAACACTTGCCCTAAACTTTTCTGTGCTATAACAGATCTTTTGATGCCATTACATAGTTCTTTCTCCTTGTGTGTTCTTTCCCATTCTGTGTCCTGTCTATTTAGATAGTAAGCTCTTTGGGATGGGGACAGTCTATTGTTCTGTGTTTGTACAGTGCCTTACACATGTGGGTATGTCTACACTGTAGAGATTTTTTGGAGAAACAGCTGAAAAAAATCGAAAGAACAGAGCGATTTTTCTGACATTGGTAAACCACTTTCTACGAGGAAGAAGCCTTTTTCTGAAAGAGCTCTTTTGGAAAAAGGTGGGTGTGGATGGGGAAGAGGGAGTCCTTTTGAAAGAAGAGAAAAGAGGAAAAAGCACAGGTGCCCTGGTGGCCACTCCATCCATAAGTGGTGAGGAGTCCTGTGGCACCTTATAGACTAACAGAAGTGTTGGAGCTTGCTCCAACACTTCTGTTAGTCTAACACAGCTACCCCTCTGATACTCGGTCCATAGTAATCACAGTTTAAATGCAAGATTCAGTGTGGACTCTATCTTTCAAAAAAGCAAATCGCTTTTTTGATGTGCTTTTGCTCTCTGGACGCTTTCTTTCAGAAGAAGTTTTTCCAAAAGGTCTCTTCCTGAAAAGCTTTTTCCAAAAGAAGCCTGCAATCTAGACATAGCCACAGTGGGACTTCATTCTGAGTTGTCCCTCGGGCATGCCTTCATATACATAATTAATAATACATTGTGTTTTAATGCCTCTCTTGACATGGCACCTTTTTGCAATAGTGAAATATGAATACTCAGTCTCTGTCCATGTCAAAAGAGAATGAGAGAGACTATTTCACCATTACAACTGCAAGTCAAATCTTATTATGGTTTTATGTCCTATAATATATTTTAATGGTCTCAAAATGGACTCTAGTAAACTGTGGACAATACCTAAAAACTAACACTTAATGAGTACATCTGTCAGTATTTACTAAAGAGTGCTTAGTGTTGGACTAGTGTAGAGGATAGCCTAACCAGTTCATTCTCTATAGCTTAGTGGGGATCTCTGTAAAAAAATGGAGGTTTTATGTCTTATTTTTAATCAAGTTGTTTTCATACTATTTATGTTGGCAATGTTAGAGATATATGGGGGTATACATTAATCTGTAGGACAGCCATATTTCTAAATTACTCTGAAAAATAATCATAAACCATGGTGAGAATAATCCACTCACACTGACTCTTAGATTTTGTAAGTAGTTTAAACAAAACAATAGCCCCCATGGTAATCGCTTTATGGCCTTATTTCCAGTCCAAGAAAAGAAGGCTGGGTAGGTGAACAGTCCAAAAATTATTTCATACCGAGACAAGTTTACACAGCTACATCTTATTTTTTCTTTTCTCTGAATTGTTTATCTAATCCAAATCTAGACTCTGGGATGAGTATCCTTGCAACAAAGATAGCATCTCTCTCTCTCTCTCTCTCTCACTCACACACACACACAAAGTAGGAATAAGAGCCTCCGGAAAAGGGCGCTTTTTCCGGAGGATCGGGGCCAGTCTAGACGTTCTTTTCCGGCTTTTTTAAAAGCCGGAAAAAAGCGGCGGACATTTTTATTTAAATGCCGCGGGGGATATTTAAATCCCCCGCGGATTTCCCTACGACGACTCATGAAATTTACATGCCCCTTCCGGAAAAGGGGCCAGTGTAGACGTAGCCACTATGTATTTTACCACCCTAAGCTAATTGGTACTAACCTGGAACTTAAAAAAAGAAAAAATATATAGCTGAATGTCTTCTTCATTTAAGATAATATTTGCTGAGTGCAGTCAGCTAAATTGATATTTATGTTGATGTGTTTGTTTATTCTCACAGCTTTGAAGCTTCTATAATACACTTAAGTTTATTTTTTCATGGAAAGGCTTTGCTATTCTTTATTCTGAGCAAATTAGGCTTCTCTTGGTACTACAGCATTAGATTTTCCTGCTGTACTGAGACAAGCAACTTAAAGGACTCATTGCTTGCCAAGAATATCAGAACTCTAAGAAATGCCTTGTAGCAGTAGAAAGCTTTAAAATCTCAAAGTAAGAACACCACTGTTGGCTATATTCATATATCTTCTTGCAGTATAAACTTTGAAAAATGTAGGCAACATATCAGTCATTTATTATGGCCCCTCTCATAACATTTTAAATTAGAGTGGTTCTGTTTTGAGCGCATATAAGATTTTAAGACTGTCACACTATGAGATTTCTTTTATTGCACATGTGTGCTATCAAGCTTATTTTTATATTTAAAACCATGTACAGGTACAGTTCTGAGGAGTCTTTGGGCTTTTCCCATCATTCATAGTTTTCAGCCTCATAAGTATTTAAAAGAAACTTGAATAGGTAGAAAGGATTTTGCATTCGTTTTCACACAGTTAATCACTTTTTATCAGTTGTTGAGTGTCTGTTGCATGATGTCTAAATCTGTACATTTCATTTATTGCAGGCGTTTATGTACCAGCAGCTTTGATTTATTGCCAGTACTTGAGAAGAATTTATTTTTGTGCAATTGAAAGGCAGTTATATATTTTTAATTTGTCAAAGTAAGACATTCTGGATCAGTTAGGCTTCAGGAGCCTTAAGTCATGGCCTACTTAAGGGAATTATTTCGAAATAGCAAACTTTGCACTCAAAACCAAGCCATTCTTTATTATAAATCCAAAGTTATATCAATATATTATTATTAAGCAATGTAACTAGTCTTAATTTTCAGCTATTTTTATATATTAGCACAGCTGATTTTATTTTTTCATTTCTGATTTATATTATTGAAATGTGACAGTGGCACAGGTAAAATGATGGACAGTAATACATATATGCAAAATAATTCATTTCAATTTGACCTTTTTTCTTCAGTCCAGAGAAGAATATCCATAGCAGATCAATATTTGATTAAAAAGAAATTTCTGTGAGTTCAAATAGCATCCCTGTATATTAATCAATGATGCAAAAGCATGAGATCGCTTTGTGCACAGCAAAAGACTGATGTGTTGTCTGGCTTTGTTGTTGATACAGCATTCTCTATTGTCTTATGTTATTTCTATTTTTATCATTAGTCCCTGAAGTCTTAATAATTAGCTCTGTAATTTCCCCAGAAAAAAACATGTTGATTTATTGAACTGGCTGAAGCAAAAAGTAGCAGATCAATCTGGCATTGTAGGTTAATTGTACAGAACAAAGCACAGTCATAATTAGATGAGAAAAGGACTTTCCTTGTTCATTCCAGTTTATAATAAAATGTCCCTCACCAAAGTGTCTTAGAAAATAATGCATTCAGACTGAGTGGAATTACCGCCTAGCAGATTCTATTTATCTGTAGCTTAAAAAGCAGCTGCGTTTTTGTAAAAAGCAATGAATGTGGCAGTCCTACTTAAAGGTAGAAGAAAAAGAACACCCCTTGTTTTGTAATAAGGGGATTTTCAATTTAAAAGAGAGAGAGAGCCTGTTGTGTGAAGTATGGTTATTACATTCACTGTATTCTATCTCACCCACCAGGAGGCTAATAATGAAGGAGTCAGTGAAGGAGGCCAATGGCATGAGGGTTATCTCACAGCCCCAGATGCTGGATAAGTTGAAGGAGGCAGAATCGCTTTTGGATGACATTCAGAAAGGCCTGAATGATTATTTGGAGAAGAAAAGACTATTCTTTATAAGGTAAACAGTCCATTTCATCTGTTGGCTATAGGCATTGGTACAAAATGTGTTTATATAAATATCTATAAAGTTCATTTTTTATCACCTTTAGGTTTTTTTCTTTCTGTGCAACGATGAGCGCTTAGAAATCCTTTCTGAGACAAAGGATCCACTCCGAGACCAACCACACCTAAAGAAATGCTTTGAAGGAATTGCCAAGCTCACTTTTAATCATGAGAAAGAAATTACTCACATGGAGTCAGCAGAAAATGAAAAAGTAGAGCTCGTGCTGCGAATAATTCCAGCAAGTGCCAAGGGGCTAGTTGAGAAATGGCTTCATGAGGTGAATATCTTTAGCTCTTACTTAGGGTTTAGTTACTGTATAATCATTTTCTCTTTTAGAAGAAAGGAATATCATAAGCATATTTCCTAACTAAATAGCTCACTGAGAATTTATCATGATGTAGACAGAATATCAGCGTCCTTGTTGTTATTTATTACAACTAATTGACATGTGCAATCATGCAAAATTAATTTTAATAAAATGGTTATCAGTGTGTGCGAGAGTTATTAAAAGTGTGTGTGTCTGAAAGCATCTATGTGACTATATGTTCAAGTCTTTGTATATGTATTTTTGTTGTCTTCTCCCTGTAATTTTTAAAGTCTGGAAGGATAGATTTTAAAAAAGGCAGCTGAAAGGAACTTGAAGAAATTATTTTTATACCATCCCCCCTAAAATCTTAATTTTCAATACATATAAAGTAAAAGAGAGAAAAAATAATTAATTGACAACATACTAGCCTTTCCCCTTTGGGCCTATGATCCAGATTAATCAGTTTCGGTATGAAATTAGTGTGATCTCTTTTTGTTGGCTTTACTTTTACATTCTTCTGTTATACAATCATAGTGGGTCCTTCCTCTGATATATGATTCTAGGCCAAGCATTCCCAAGTTCGTTCGTTCTTCCTTCCTTCCTTCCTTCCTTCCTTCCTTCCTTCCTTCCTTCCTTCCTTCAGAATCAGCCCCAGGTACACAGCTTCTCTTTCTCTTTTCATTTCAAGTTGCTGCTTTTACCCCATTGAATCTGTCCCTTTACCTCTTGCCTTTCTCAGTAGACTGTCAGCCAATCAGTGTATACAGCTGAGAAAAACAATACCTTACACTAGAAAGGGAGAAAAGGAAAAACAAAAAAACACACACAAAGGATGTTCTTTCCAAAGTAGATTCTGCTGGGGGAGGGGAAGCAAGAAGAGAAATTTGTCTCATGAACTAAGAGACAATTTTAGCTATGAGTGTTACCTTTGTTATGTGTCTAGTTTTCGCAGGCTGGGTGAGCGAAACAAAACCACTCAGGTCTACTCAGGATTCCATGTTTGCCACATAACTGAGGCACCTATCACCATGCCAACTTAGAATTAATCTTTTTTTAAAGCAACTGCACACAACTGAAAACATTTAATCACAGTTAGGTACTATCCTTGCCCTCTCCTAACTTAGACACAAGTCCTTCCTTCCTTACTCTCCAAAGAAGATTATTAAACTTTATTCTTGTACTCCTTTTCAGCACAATATTATGTTCTTTGGAACAACATTGGCACTAGAGAGCTGTGGCTAGGTATGATAGATGCATTTATGTTGAGCCACAGAAAGGCAGGACTCTCACCATCCTGGAAAACCTGCAATAGGTTGGTTAGGTCTCACTCTCTCTAACAGAAGAGAGAAAGATAGGGAGATGAGCAGCCATGTTTATTTCAATACATCTCGTTTAACCCTCACCTTAAAACAAATGGGAAGGTTTGGGAGTGCATTAATCTGGACCCAATTAGCATCTCTCTCTCTCCCTCAAAAGTGCAACCTGAGATTAATGAATATAAAATCGAGTTTCATATGCAGTCTTTAAATCATTTGCATGTTTTATGCATGATAATTGAATTTATTTATGCACTTCCTTTCATTTAATGATTTCCTACTTTTTCCTGTTCTAGCCACATTGTACTATCCAAGAAATAGGATTTGATAGGCAGCAAGGATAGGTGTATGTAAATAAGTGTTAATTTTTAGATCTAATGACAACTGTAAATAAAAATAAATATTTGTGTAACTTTAATTGGGTTAATATAAAATATTATAGTTAAAGTATATACTCTGAGACTCTTTAGATACTTTGGATATTGTTTAGTATGCTTGTAAGTGTACAAGCAAAATTATTTTCAAAAGGCCATGAAAGGCAGTTAAATTACTGTATTGACATTTCTATGACCCTAGAGACTTATTTCAACTTGGCCAATTAGTAGTAATAGTAGCAATAAGATAATCAGAAGATGAATAGTAATTACATTAATAACTAATGGTATTCAGTGCAAGGCCTAGAAAATCAGAGTCTGGCTCAGACTCTACATTATAATTTGTCTTATTCCATATTTGATCAGTAGAAATATGAGCATTGGAAACATAGGCAGGATATAGACATTCTAAAGATCAGTTTGCCACATTACTGGCCCTGTGATTGTGCCATAATGTAGAATTTTGCTTTTTTCCCAATTAAGCTCAGATGTCTTGGTGATTCCATGTACTGGTTTCCAAATTCTTTGACAATGGAAAGACCATCCTTGTGTTGGTTAAGCCAGGAAGCTACTGTGGGAAAGGTCTTTTTAAAAAGGATTCTGGTAGTGTTTCTCATAGTTTTGATTTGTGCCAGTGCTTCTCTTGTCTCTTGTCTTCCTTCTGTGTTTACAAATGTATGTGGAAGTGGTATTTTTCTGTGGTGTCCTGTCTTCCTCAGTTACTTAATTGGTTGTGTGTTGTGATTTGTTTCCTGATCTTTGTAGGTAGGAATGTCTTTAAAGGCTAAAGTTCTGTTAATTTGTGATGTGACAATTTCAGTGTGTCTCTTGTCATTGAAATGTAGTTTAAAATGTTCAGTAATGTAGCATGAAATTATTGGTTAGTTTTGAAATGGTTGTGAAATCATGTGAAGAAAATAAGTATTGCATCTGATCAAGATAAATTCACTCTAGTGTTTTATGGCTTTTTATTCCTATGTGATAGTAATAAAGTCTCATGTAGGGATGGAAGCCATGAAATACATTGTGAAAAATCATCAACTAAGATGGGGCCATGAGAATAGAAAATGGTATAGTTGTAGAGCTAATGAAAATTGTTGGGAAATGGTTTAGTATGTCACCATGTTGATTGCCATGTTTGCTTTTTATTTCTTCATACTTCACCCATATAGCTTGACAAGTAAGGAAATTAGTTTATAACAGGTTGATTCACTTTTACATCAGTGTTAAATGTTTAAATTGTTTATACTTTTTTATTTTCTATTCAATATAACACTGTACATGAAACACGAAACTAATTAGTTTATACAGTAAAAGACCAACAAAACAAGCCCGACCTGTGAATTACCAAATTCATGTGATGGATACCTAAATTTAGAATGAAGCCAAAGTAGGTTTTCCCATTAGCCCATGGTCCAGGTTTTTTTTACTCCCACACTCAATAATAGATCTGAATGATGAGCAAGCAAGTAAATAATTCTTTTTCTATTGACATGTTTTTCTCAACGTATACATTTTCTTCTTTTCCTATTCTGAAAACAAGACAAGGGATTATAGCTCCGAGGGCAGAAAAAGTACTCATGACAATGTTCATAATTGTGCTAACATCCCATATATTGCTTTGCTATCTAAGTTATGTCAATCTTCGTATATCTTTCTGTCTTGAATATATTATTTTTGTGGAAAACTTCTGTGATTGAGAGTCATTCTTATATGACTAAATTTATTATTACAGTCTTCTTTCTGTATTCTTTTCTAATGAAAATTAATAAAGCATTTTTGTTACTTTGCCTCTCTTATTTATCTGAAAAATATGGATTTCTTGTCTCTTTTCAAAAAAGGCATACACTTCTATTAACTATAAGCAAGCAAATCTTCTTCTGATATAAACCCTAGAGGCAATTAAGTAGAAAAGGTATTTTCCTTGTATTGCTTTAGGTTTCTCACTTGTAACTTACATGTTTTAAAAAAAATAAGTGTCAGTATGAATAAAATAACACTCTAAATATTTTAATCTTAATTAAATCACAAGAGTAGTCCGAATTTGGTAATTATCATTTTGGTTTACAAAGATGTTAGATGTTTATATCATTAGTGTCTTGTGAAGCAATAGTTGCAGAATTTGCAAAGCAAGTTACAATCAGACCTCCATTAAAAGGCAAAGTATCTGCTTCCTTGTGTTTTAATGAAATGAGATTTTTGCAGTCTTGCTTCCAAGATTACACAGGTTATACTGCTTAGAAAGTAAAACTGAGCTTGTTAGCCAAAACAGAAGAAAAATTGTACTGATAAAAAATCATCTTCATCGTTTGCCCCCAAATGTTTTCAGAATTTTCTTTGGATATGGCCATTCGTTTTTTGTAATCTGGGAGAAGATTTTTTTAAATAGTTTCAAATGAACTAATCATTAACATATTAGCCTCTTCTCTCTCTCTTTCTCTCTCTCTCTTTCCTTCCCAAGAATACATTTTAGATTATTTCAATTTTTGTCCCTTCTAAATAATGTGCAGTTTGAGGGTTCATTCTCAGTACAACAGGGCAGACTTTCATGTATGTGTGCTTTATAAATGACATTATAGGGCTCTATATTTATTGCCTCCACATGATTTTGAAATCTAACTGTATTCAGTTTTCAAGTAAAAAATACATTTTTCTAATTCACAGCTCAATCTGCAGGGCTGGCAAAGCAATGTGGAGTATTTTCCTTTTCATGCAGCATCACTAACAATAAAGGGTGTTTTAGGCAAAATTATACCCTCAATTACAGCAGTACAGCCCTCTACTGCCATTGTCTTCAATTTATATCCTCAGTAATACAGATGCTACTGCCATTGTCTTCAATTTATATCCTCAGTTATACAGAAAAAAAATTGCTCTCATTAGGTTTGCACAGGTGTGTCTAAATGGAACTTCATAAATAAATCTATTGATGACTCACAAGAATGAATAGAGTTCTGCTTGGTCTCTAGGGTGGTCGACTGCCTAATTGCACAAAAAAACACCCCTTGCCCTGCCCCTTGCCACACCCCTTCTCCAAATCCATGCTCCCCACTCACTCCAACACCCTCCCTCCGTCACTTGCTCACATCCAAGATCACTCACTTTCACATGTCTGCGGCAGGAGGTCAGGGTCTGGAAGAGGGTGAGGGTATGGGCTGGGGAGGGGGGGCAGAAATGAAGGGTCCAGGATGACTGCAGGCTGGAGCATGGGATTGGGATGGGTGAAGGTTCCAGCTAGAGGTGTGGGTTCTGGGGAGTGTCCAGTGATGACGGATTTGAGTTCTAGACTGGTGCCAAGGGGTTTCGAGTGTGAGAGCAGACTCAGGACTGGGAGGGGAAGGGGATGTGGGCTGCAGGAGAGAGATTAGGTGTGGGAGGGGAATTAGGGTGTGGGGTTTGGCAAAGAGTTCCAACCAAAGACAGGTGATTTGGGCATGGGAGAAAATTCAAGGTATGGGCTCCAGCCCGGCTGTATTTACCTCAAGCGGCTTCTGGTCAGTGGTGCAGCAGAGCTAAGGCAGGCACGCTGACTTCACACAGCTCCTGGGAGCAGCCACCACATCCAGATTTTAGGTGCAATTGTGTCCAGGCAGCTCTGCATGACATGTGTGCCTCCTGCCCTCACAGTTTCGAGCCAGTGGGAGCTGTGGAGCCAGTGCTCAGGGCAGTGATAATATGCAGAGCCTCCCTGGATCCCCTGCATCAGGAGCTGCACACAGACAGGGCAGGTAGAGAGCCTGGCTTAGCCCCACTACACTGTTTACCCAACTTTTAGTGGTCCCGTAAGCTATGATAAATAGAGCCACCACGGTTCCATTTTGACTGGGCATATCAAGAAAAAACTGGATGCCTGGCAGCCCTAGCAGATTCTCTTACCTGTTGAATATTAAGAAGTTATTTTTAAATAGGCTATCTGGTGCAGTGCAAAACTATGGTAACTCAAGGTTGACAGATACCTTGGCAGTGGAAAAAGTTCAGAAAAGGGCAACAAAAATGACTGGAGTATGGAATGATCCCCATGTGAAGAGAGTTTAATAAAATTGGGACTTTTCAGGTTAGAAAAGAGAAGACTAAGGGGTGATATGATAGAGGTCTGTAAAATCACCAGTGGCGTGGAGAAAGTACATAAGTTATTTGCTTCCATAACACAAAAACTAGGGGTCATCACATTAAATTAATGGGTAGTAGGTTTAAAACAAACAAAAGGAAGAATTTCTTCACACAATGCACAATCAACCTATGGAACTCCTCGCCATAGGATGTTGTGAAGACTGGGACTTTAACAGGGTTAAACAAAAGAACTAGATAAATTACTGAAGGTTAGGTCCATCAATGGCTATTAGACAAGATGGGCAGGAATGGTATCCTTAGCCTCTGTTTGTCAGAAGCTGGGAATGGGTGACACTTGATGATTACCTGCTCTGTCCATTCCATCTGGGACACCTGGCATTGCCTTCTGTTGAAAAACAGGACACTGTACTAGATGGACATTTCATTTGATCAAGTATGGCCGTTCTTATATTCTTCTAGTCTTAATGCTTTATGGGTACAGTATAAACCTCACTGTACTTGTAATGGCTTGTCTCCATCTTTTGTCAACAAGAGAAGCTCAACTCAGAACTTTCAGAGCTGAAAGTACCTACACTGAGGCAGACGCTACAGCTGGGGCCAGTAACAAACTCTCGCCCTCTATGGACTGAGTACAGAAGGGGATACTTACACTGTTACAAAAATGCATGTACATTTCTTGACACATGACCTGGGTATATGTAATAGAAAGAAGATGGTGTTTTTCCTGTAAGTAGTAGAAAGAAGTACAATAAAACTCCATTGGTCTGGCATCCAATGGTCCGGCACTCCTGGTGGTCCGGCACCATCTGAAACCTGGAAGTGCTCCGGGCAGCCAGACCATTGGAGCTGCTCTGCCCCGGGCTTTCCGGAGTCAGCTGCTGGTCAGTTTCAACAATGGCTGACTGAAAGAAGATGGTGTTTTTCCTGTAAGTAGTAGAAAGAAGTACAATAAAACTCCATTGGTCTGGCATCCAATGGTCCGGCACTCCTGGTGGTCCGGCACCATCTGAAACCTGGAAGTGCTCCGGGCAGCCAGACCATTGGAGCTGCTCTGCCCCGGGCTTTCCGGAGTCAGCTGCTGGTCAGTTTCAACAATGGCTGACTTCGGAAAGCCCGGGGCAAAGCAGCTACGCCGCGGAAACCCCCGGGGCAGAGCAGCTAGGGTGCTGCCGGGTTGGTCCCCTAGTGCCAAGGGGTGCATCCCCCAACCCCCCGCTCCCTCCCAGACCCCTCATAGCCCCCCCTTCCAATAGTCCGGCATATCTGATAATCCGGCATCCCCTGGGTCCTAAAGATGCCAGATTATCGGAAGTTTACTGTAAGTAACTATGGTGTAAAACTCACTTACCTCACCAAATTAGCCTCCTCCCCATCCCAGGCAATGATGTGGCTGTTTCCCCAATGGAAGGGATTGGTTTGTTAATGAATCATGTAAGCCTGCATCAGAACCCTTCTTTTAATTTTGTACTCAGAGGGCTCAGAGTTCCAGTCCTAGGTGACACCTTACCTGATGGAAAATAAAGTTTTTTTCCTCAATGTCAATTTGAGTAGTGGGACAGCATTCTGAAATGTAGTCTCTTGTCAGACAAAGGGAATGTCTTGTCATCGGGGTGAAATGTTAAACTCAAAGCTGACTGCAAGTTGTTCCTCCATTGTTTATTCTACCAGAAGTGTATATGCTTTGTCTAGTACATGTAGTTGAATTGCTGAGCCTGAACCTAGGACAAGGACTACGTAGGTCAGACCTTCCCGGCCATCTGTGATAGAAACCCACAGTTTAATTTTAAAAAGAGTATTAGGGATCTGAAACAGAAGGACTTTTAGCTGTATTCTGTATTTACTTAGCTCACAGAAAATCTGCTGATGTAAATGCAAGTGCTGCATGCTGACAGAGCTCAGCATTTGTTTTTACCCAGTGTGATCTATCAGTGTATTTATTATTTAGTAATAATAATGATTTAATATCAACAATGTTTCATTCTGTTCAGAATATGCAAATAGGTCATGATACAGAGTTCATGATAGGTAATCTTATAGGTATCTAGGATCTAATCATTATCCAGTAGGTCTTTTTTAGCTCACTAAAAACCGCATGAGGTTCACATGGAAGAAAAGAATGAGCCATTATGGAATAGATCTCTGAAAGAAAGTGCAATTTGTTCTCTGAGGCTCATACCACTAAATAAAGGACAGTTGCATTCTGTGCTAATTGTATCTTCAGAGCAGCCTTCCAGGTTAGCCGTATAGAGTATATTACAGTTCTCCAAGCCCTCTATATGTAACAAAGGTGGTGTTCACTGCTTGGAAAGCCATACTGTGAGGGGGAGGGTGCACGTTACAAACATCCATATAAATGCAGAATGAAGGAGCCACTTGCTGATACCTTCTGTTTCTATTACCCTACTAACATTACCTGGAGTGATTTCCATCTCCCCTACCCATCCAAAACCCTATACTGGCTGGATACTGAAAAACTAATTACTTCAGCATATAACCAAATGTTCATATGATGTCTCAGTTACAGGACTGTTAATAATTTATATATATATATATATATATATAAATTATTAACAGTCCTGTATGATCATTTTATTCAGTGACTTTTATTCATTAACGGGTTTAATTTGAGCTGTGTTGCTACAGAGTGAACTAGATGTGACACTGGTCTTGGCATTATTTAACAGTGTAGCGTGATGTTGCATAAACTATTTTCC